GAAGAAATCAAACTTGACTTTAGATATAGTTTATTCCTTTCATAATTTAAATACTGTGAGCATTTTCTTGTACTATTCAGCCTTATTGAATTTCAGTAACCTTCTAGAATTATATTTGTTAAAATTGTACCTCCTTGCTTGCTTAACCCTTTTACAATAACAGCATTCTAAATGTAGAACTTTGTGATTATGGGGTAGGATGTCAGTGGTTGAAGTACACTATAATTCTTTTTCTTTAAAAATCCAGTTAATTGGCAGAAAGTTTTTGTATGTTGATGTGAGTGTCAGCAAGTAAGTGCCTTTATAACAACTTTAACAGTAAAAGTTCTTAGTTCAAGTTTTAATGAAGAGTTTGATCTTTTACATTATGACCTAAAGAATCAATGTTTTAAAGAAGTTTTAATGAAGAGTTTGATTTTTTGCATTATGACTTAAAGAGTCAGTGTTCTCTATTTCTGTGTCCTAAAGAGCTATGCTATTTATCCTATTTATAACTGCTGTTTTGACAGTCTTTTTGGTACAACAGTGTATATTTCTAGTTGCTGTAATAAGAATTATAGTTGACTGTACATTATAAAATGTTATTTGCATGCAGTATTAGAATATTTTCCACTTTTGATTTCACAGTTTCTTATACTCATTTATATTTAGTACAGCTCCCCTCTCCTTCTCGACAACCCCCCTGCCCTATGCTTTCTTCTCTCAATAAACTGAAATATTCTTGTTTTGGCAAATTAAAGTCTGGTCTTAGCTAAATTGGTCTAAATCTTAGCTGCTACTGCTAAGAAGATAATTCTGACTCTAAACAACACATTGCACAACATTATCTGAGCTTTCATGGTAATTTATTTTTATGCCCAAGTTTTCATTGTAGAACTGTAGAATAAGTTATAAGGAAGCACTGTTACATTTTATTACAGAAATGTAATGAACTTGTAATCTACTCTGTTACTCAGTATTTTCTGTATAAAAATCTCAAGATAAATATCTCCTAGTATTCAATTTCAGGAAAAGCTTTGCTTCTCTAGGGAAGTGTTAGGTTTCCGTTTTTATAATGAATTGACTCATTTTTCATTTTGTCAAAAATACATGAAGCCCTTATTTACATTGTCTTTCTGTTACCTTTCACACTCTACTGATTTGTTAAGTATGGCTTACTTTCAACTTTTCACTTTACTTTATGAGTTGTGATCATATACTGACATTTCCCTCCTTTATGAAAGTTTTCTCCCTACAGTATGCCTATAAAAATCTCCCTTTAGAAAGGGAGTTTCTGCTGAATAGATATCTTAAACATGGTCAAAACTGATCTTCTACCTTTTGTTTGTACTCAGATCTTTTCTATATAGTCTTTCTCATCTGTGCTAAGGACTACTACATCTTTCTTTTACTTAGACTAAAGAATTAGATTTATCTTTTACTCTTTTTATTCTAACTCTTTTAATCTCACACCTTACACTTGATTCATTAACTGATTCTGTCACCAACTTAAAAAATGTACCAACTTTTTTTTTATTCTACCACCTCCACTGCTGCTACCCTGGTGTAAATTACTTCTTGCTGTATAATTGCAGTAGCCTGTTACTTGCCATTACCTCCCTTCTGAATGTTAAACTGATCACCATCCAGTAGCCACACATTTTATTTAGAATAAAAACCAATGTCATTTAAAATTGTGTACAAAATGCGTATGTTTTCCCCTCATTTCTCTGAGTTCATCTCCTATTGAACTCTACCTTTGTTCACACTGGTCTCCTTATTCTTTTTTAAAGTTGAAGTGTCCCATTTTAGAAGAGAAGCAACTGGGCACATATAGTAAAGAGGGTGAGATATAAATCAAGAGGATTTGACTCGAGTTATGTGCATTACTGCTACATTATGTTGTCTTCCAGACATTGATTTCATCAACAGTGTAGTACTTTTGACAATTTTTAGTCAGAAGTAATCAATCTATCCTTCAATACTTGATATTTTCTATATATATGCACCTCTTTAATGATACATATTTTAATGATTAGTAAAGTTTATAGTCATTAAATCTAAAAGAACATTTTTATTTAATGGCTATAATAATAATAATCAAATTGAAAATTACACCTTAGAATCATCTTCTGAAATTGCCTTTAATAATCACTAATTTAATACCACAGTTTTACTTTAAAAGGTCTCTCATGTAAATATCTCATGCACTAATTTGTGCCACGGTATTGTCTGACAGCGTGGTTATTAAAAACTTTATATTAAAATATGTAGACCACACTCTAGCAATTGAGAGAACCAGATAGTGTGGAATTACATACAAGATGGATATTTTACAAAGTATAGAAAACACATATTTTCAGATGCGGGATGGCACAAGACTGGGATTTTGAGTAAAGGAGAACAAAGAAAACCATAATTTTTGAGGTAATTTTTGAACTACAGTATAGGCAGGGAAGAACCTCTGCAGAAGGTTGTCAGTTTTGTTGAGTTGAGGAGTTAGAGATGAGAATTCAAGGAAGCCTAAGTACTTGGAACTTATGTAGCTGAGTACTCAAAGGGCAAGATCTTTAGAAATGTCATTGGGGGTTGCCTTGAGTGTTTGGCTGCATACCAATCTGTAAGAGTAGTGTGAAACTCCATGCAGTTAGATATGAAACAACTTGAGGGAAAAGAGCACTTACTGGAGATTAAAATGACTACTTTCTAGTGCTTATAAAAAGTCAATAATTGTTTTGCGTTCTCTCCATCCAGCTTGAGTGTTCATTAACTACATGGGCAGTTTTATAGAAAGGTGAAGTGGGACTAAATTATTCTTAAAATAAAACTGTTCTAGTTTTACCCTCAAAAAACTTTATACTAATACGTAAGTAATTTATTTATTGTTTGCTGGAAAAGTAAATCAGTACTCTTCTTCAAAGCAGGGGTTTTCAAATTGTCACTGATATTTGAACTGCATAATTCTTTGTTTTCAGGATTTTACTTTAAAATTTTTCAAGGCAAATTTAATCTTATACAAGTACTTTCTGATTTTTTAGGTGTGTATGATATGGATATCAAAATCTGATGAAGTCTTTATTAAAAAAGGACTTGCAAAGCATTATCTTTCATGAGCATAAATACAGAAATTTTTAATTGTGGTATCACTTCAAATCCGGCAAAAAGTAGAACAATACATGGTGACTAATGGGGGATTTGTCCCATGCATTTAAAAATTAGTCTACCGTATTTATACTTTAAAGGAGAGAAACTATAAGGTCATCTTAACAGTTACAGAAAGAGAGTTTTACACATTCAACATTTACTCGTGGTAAAACTTTCCACAGTGGCAACAAAAGGAAACTTCTAAATGGATAAAACTTATGAAAAACCTTCAGCTAACATTCTTAGGGGTAGATAGTTGATATATCTGTACCATGGTATACCAGTTAGCAATAAGAAGGAATGAAGTTATGGATACATGAAACATCATGAATGAATCTTAATATATATTTTGTTTAACAAAAGAAGTAGTCACAAAAGACTTATGTACCACATACTATTTTTACTTGATACTGAAAGCTTAATTGTTATGACAGAATGAATATCAGTGATTTTTTGAGGCTTGGGGCAGGTGGGAGAGGATTACTGGGGTATTGTAGCTGTCCCTTTTGGGGTAACAGAAATGTTCTTTATTTTCATTGGTGTAATTATATGTTGCATACATTTGTCAAAAGTTATTGGAATGCCCATTTAGAATAGATTGGTTTTATTCATATGTAAACATTCTCTAAAAATACGTTAAATATATTATAAAAATATAGGTAATTTAGGCTTATATTAAAAGACGTTAGAATAGAGCACTGTACTTGTTAAAATTACATTTCTTAAGTTCATAAAAGTTCTTGTTAACCACTTCTAAAATATCAGATGTGTTCTTAGAGGCTTCTGCTGTTTGAGTTATTATGTTAAAATGTTTAAGACTGGTTTTAGGGTCATCTAGAATTCATGTCAGATATTTGCTTTGTACTTACTTGTCTCTATGGCTTTGGGAATGTTCTTAACATCTCTTTGCCTAGTTTACTTTTTTGTAAAATGGAGTAATAGTGTATTGTGTTAAAACCATGGGTGGCTATGTATATAATTAGAATTAGATATATAATTCATGCACAGTGCTTTGCAAGTACGTAGTATATATTAAGCCCTGAATAAATTCCATTTTTGTTATCACCCCGTTACCATTTTTCCTTTAAAACTTCAACGGACTTTAGTAGTTCAGTGAACATATTGAATTACCACTCACTCTCATTTTGAAATATTTGTGGAATTTTCTCAAATGATTTACTTTAAAACTTTATTTCTTAGATTAGGCTTTTTTTGTGGATCTGATGAGTTGTGCTGTATTTTTCAAGAAAAATGAACTGAAAAAATAGTTTTCCATAGTGTTGTTCTTGGAATCATTGAAACCTATAAATAAGAACCTTTGCCACTGAGAAGAATGTGCAAACAACTTTCTTACCCATAAAATGCTAAACTTTATTAAAATTTTCTTGTTTTAACTTAAATTTTCATTGCTTCATATTTCGATGTAAGCTACTTCATTCTTGAGTTAAACTGACAGGCCCTCAATTGTTGGTTTTCTAAAATAAAAATTTGCTTATATTCCCAGTTTATTTGGATACTGATCCTAATTTTGATCAAATTGAATCATAACTTTTAAAAAAATGACTTATTTCATTCCTTTAGTGTTTTAGTTTTACAGTATTCATCTATATTCAAGAGCTGTAAATTCTAATGTGCTCTTATCTGATATTTTCCTGGATTTTTTAACTCTCATTTTGCTAATTAAATTTACCTAAAATTTCTGTTGTCTTAAACAACATGAAAACATCTATGTGAAAGTCTATCTTACTCTTTTGGATATCTTAGTACTCATCATTTAATTGTACTGTTTTTTATATAAATGTAAACATTATAGAACAGTGATGGCAAGTTTGTTGTGATTCTAGATATAACACTGCAAAAACAAATTATTCTTTCAGAAACTGTTCTGACTGGGCCTACCTCACCTTTACCCTCTCCAGGAAATGGAAGTGACACTCCACCTGGATCGATTACACAGACAAAGAAAATCCGAGGAATTGGATTTGGAGATATTTTTAAAGAAGGCTCAGTGAAACTTAGGACAAGAACATCCAATAGTGAAGCAGAAGAGAAAAAAACCGAAAAGGTAATATTGATGAACTTACTTAGATTCCACTCATCCTCTCATTAAGCATTTTTTAAAATGTAAAAAGTCAGTTAACAACTCTTACATTTCATTTTTTTGACATTGCTAGTAATTATGAATGAGAAAACTGAGAAACTGATTTTAAATTTACATTAATTTCTTTAATGCTATATTTGACTCTTCCAAAATCAGAATGCTTTTTGATAAATTTAACACAAAATTTTCTTAGCGGAAGCTTTTAGTTATTCTAATGTAAAAATAGAAAAGGCAATTTTTTTTTTGCTTTCTAAACCAGAATTATATTTTTTCTCCTTTAAATTGAAGAAGGGACCTCCCTGGTGGCGCAGCGGTTGAGCGCTGGGTTGCGAAGCTGCCCGCAGCCTCTGCAGCGGTGGTTTGATCCCCGCCGCTCCCCGGCCACTGAAGGAGGGTCCTGCATGGCGCGCAGAACTCTCCCGACACCTACTGCTCCCCTCAGCAGTGTACTTCGGTCCTTCTGCCTGCTCTGTTCCCTGCTCTGGTTCTGGTGAATTCTCTCGCCCTCCCACACTTCTGACTGTACCCAGTGCTTCTATAAATAAATAAATAAATAAATAGAAGAAGGGCTAAAATGGACTGTTTGAAAAATGGAATCCCAATGAGACATTAATTAGGCACTACTTTATTTTGTATTTTCAGCTATGGTGAAATCTGCTAATCTTCCTCTAAATGTATGGAGAATTTTATTTTTTATTAGCATTTCACCAGTATGAAAGAAACCTAAGTGAATGTATCATAAATTATAAGATAATGAGAGATTTAAAAATAAATCCTTGAGTTTTCTTTTGGGGGGAAAATAGCTGCAACCTGAGACATTAATTTAAAAACTGTTCATGTGGTTAGCACCTTGGAGATTAAATTCAGATTGAGTACTTTAATAGGATGCTTTCCCTTGGCTTTTAGAATGTTGTTTCCCTTATAGTTCTCTTTAATATCTTTTTACTTAATCTTGAGTAAAATATTTCAGTATTTACACGCATTGTATATTTATATCAATAGCTCATTTGTAAGACTTTTCTTTAGTGAAACATATTCTGAAGTTTACTCCTTTAGCAGTTAGTTTCAGCATTTTTTTCTTTCTCATCTTGTTCTATATTTTCTCATGTAAATGATTTAGGTTCAGGAAAGAGAACTTCTTCTTTCTTTTTTACCCTCACCAACCTGTGAGACCATCTTGCATGAAAATTATGCCTAGTTGATTCTTGGTTTTAAATGTAAAAATGGAATTTTCATTCTAGAGCTAGATAGCCATATAAGAGCTAACAATCTTAGAAAAGCAATGTCTGAATTGTGAGGAATACTAGACACGATGATCTGGAATCCCTTTCCAACTCTAAAGTTTATTGTTACATTGAATAAATTTATTTAATTATGAATATGCTAATAATCTGTCAGTTGCTATTTTTAATGTCCTCTATGCAGAGTTGTTATTAGTGAGAGCAGATTCAGGGCATCCTGTATGATAACCTCTGGAGGATTCCTTTGATCATTTTTTGATCTAGGAATTGTTAAAATAGGGAGCACATTTACTGTATTTGTAGATGACACCAAATTGAAAGATAGGGCAGTTTGAGAAATTAAAATGAGTATCTTAAAAGATAAACTTAACATGCAGTGATTGGTAAACAATATGATAACAGTATGGATGTTCTGATTTTTAGCTAATGAAATCTAAGGTCAAATATGTTATTTCTGGGGAGAGAACTGGAGGAACACTTAGTATAGGACTGTGGATCTTACTGTAGTCAATTACAGTGGAAAACTCTCTAGTAGAAGATAGTTAAAAAGGTGGTAACTTTAAATGTTTTTGTTCAGATGGCAGGAATGAAGTAGGAAAACTTTTTTTCACTGTGTTATTTTGTGGAAGCATCATGCTGTTTAAGAAAATACTTTCTGTTGAGTTATTTGTAGCTTCAAATCTGGCCTTCATGATTTTACTACTGACATGGATAGGTTCCTCACTGCTTTTTAATCTGCAAAAGGAATGAATGATAGTGCCTTCTTTATCCAGATTACATTGAGGATTATGTTACATATATTAAGTGCTCAATTCAGGAATTGGGACAAGTGAATTTTCAAATGTTATTATTTAGAGGGTCTAAAATCAAATCATAGTTCTATATTCATAGCATTTATATGGGGTATCAGCATGTTTATTACCCTTAAGGTAGGGAGTTTTTTTTTTTTTTTTTTTAAAGATTTATTTATTTATTTATTTATGCAAGCACTGGGTACAATCAGAAGCACGGGAGAGTAAGAGGATTCACCAGAGCCAGAGCAGGGAGTAGAGCAGGCAGACTGATCAAACACACTGCTGAGGGGAGCAGTGGGCACGGCGGGAGAGGTCTGCGCGCCATGTGGGACCCTCGCTGGCGGCCGGGGCTCGAACAGGCACTGTGGAGCCTGTGGGCAGCTTTGCAGCCCAGCGCTCAACCGCTGCACCACAGGGGAGGCCCAAGATAGGGAGTTTTAAAAATTAGAAGTTCTGTGCTTCCACTTCAATAACTTTTGAGATCTTTTATAGAATTTTCAGTCTCATTACTAACCTGGCTATAAATACTTTTAGGGAAAACTGAATTATTATTAATAGAAACTTTGTTTAATAATATTACCTTTATTCTAACTTAAAATAGTTAATGTCTTCTTTTTCTGTTCTAGCCTTTAATCATACAGTCATTAAGCTCCAAAACTCAGACTGTGGAAATAACAAAAGCAGACACTGAAGGTAAAATTAAAGGTAGGCTTTTGAATTTTTTTCATACTGGGAATAAAGCATGCTTGAGTATAGTGTTAGACTTATTGAAGACATTTGTTATACTTACTGTTTGTGATCAGTGTGAAATCTTGTGATTAAGGAGTTTGGTGTGCTTTGTTCACTGACATAACCTCCTATAGTTAAAACTGGAACACAGTAGACACTTGTTTGATTAATGAAATTGTTACTTAATTCAACTTTACAGCATTGGCCTAAATTTTAAAATTTAAAGATGAATTACTAAGTTACATTATTTCCATCCTTTATTTTAGCTAAGGAATATTGTAGAACATTATTTGCCTATGAAGGTGCTAATGAAGATGAACTTACTTTTAAAGAGGGAGAGATAATCCACTTGATAAGTAAGGTAAGATATTTTTCAGTGACTCATGTAATTTACTAAATAGAAATAGTTTTCAGAAGTTCTGGGACTTCATCTTTTTTATTTCTGTGACCTGAGAACCTGAGATGACATAAGTGCTCAGAGAGCGCACTTTCTCTTTTTCCCCATGCTTTTACTGTCCTTACTACAATTGATATACTAGGAATTATTTTTATTGTCGTATCATTAATTTTTCTCAATTAACATTAATATCTCCCCTCTCTTATTCCCTTCTGACTTCTTATCCCAATTCATTCCATTTTTTCCCCATATACTCTGTGTGTGTAAACAAACACAAAAAAATAAGGAAACATTTTAAAAGGCCTATCAGTATATAAATGGTTTGGAATTTCATACTGTGGAAAGTGATGCAACATTTGAAAGAATAGGTTAGTTGTATAATTTGGAATGAATTTTAAAGGAAAAGATAACCTTTGGGATATGGGTAGAATCTGGGCAGAGAGAGCAAATTTGTGAAATTTCGTGGTTTACTATAACCCTATAGAATAAGTTTTGAAATTTCTCCCAGAGTTTTAAACTGACTTTGTTATCAGATGATTTTGTGTATGTGATTTTTTTAATATGCAGATAGTTTGGAATGATGACATCTAATTGCTCATGCAGGGATGGTATTTGGAAGGAACTATTTCTGAAACAAATGAACAATGTGATTAATTTTTAGTATATAAAGTGTTGAAAGGAATGTTAAGTAAGATGATAAAGTTTAGAAATTCATATTCTTTCTGTACCCTCCTCCCCCACTTTACTTCTCTGAATATCTTTTCCCTTGTTGATTAACTTTTACAATTATTTAAAAAAAAACAAAAACCCTGATTCCATAAATGCTGCAAGAAGCAATATGTGGTATGTGGGAATATTTTATTTGATGAGGCCCTTATGATCTTTTTTTTTTTTTTTTTTAAAGATTTATTAATTAGGCATACAAGAGCTGGAGTGTAGGCCAGAGGAGTGTGTGTGTGGCGGGGAGTGAGGGTGTGTCGAAGTGAGAGGATTCACCAGAGACAGACAGGAGAGCAGAACAGGCAGTTTGACTGAAATACACAGCTAAAGGGGGCAGCGGGTGAGACAGGAGAGGTCTGCTGTGCCATGTGGGTCACCATCCTGACGGAGGAATGGAAATCTTGCTGCAGTGGCTGCTAATAGCTTTACAGTGCTGAGATTTAACCCCTTGCACCACCAGGGAGCCCTGATCTTTTGTTTCTTATATAAATAATGAAATTCTGTATTTTCCTACCTTGTTGTAAAGTTTTCTTTTTCTATAGATAATATTTATTAAAACTTCATTTCCCATTTTAGGAAACTGGAGAAGCTGGCTGGTGGAAGGGTGAACTTAATGGTAAAGAAGGAGTATTTCCAGACAATTTTGCTGTTCAGATAAGTGAACAGGATAAGGATTTTCCAGTAAGCTTTTACTTTTTTGAAAGAAATTTTTGCCAATATTTCTTAAAACACAGGTTTTTACATTGTTACTGAATAACTTTTGTGAGGTTGTTTCAGGTTTGTAAAGTCAGTTAAAGGTTATTTGAAAGTGGTAAAACTAAATATCAGTTCTCTGCATTTATTCTGGGTTTTATTTTGTCCAAACAATATTGAAAAATAACCTTAGATTTCATTACCTTATTATAATCAGAAGGAAAAGTTGGCTATACTAGTTAGAAAAATTAGCACTTGCCTGGATGAAATTTTTATTTAATTTGTTAGAAATCTTTATTTTAAGGTACCTTTGATCTTACTCATTCTGTCTACACTTTTTTTTAATTGATATACATTGATTTACAACATTGTGTATGATTTAGGAGAGTAAGTTCACACCTTTTCAGATGTGTATCATACCACATTCCCCACTAGAGTACCCATCATCCTTTACCATAGTGCCAACACATTTTGGTGGATTAGTTGCTCTATTTCACTTCTCATAGTGAATAAAGTGAAGCAGAGTCATTTATCGATGATCTTTTACTTTTCTACAACTTGATTCCTTTTTTCCCCTATGGAAGGATGGATCTGAGTTTTTAAATTAGAGGCAGTAAAGAGACTAGAGCAAGTGCAGCAAGGCTATCTACATGATTCGAGCTAATGCAGAGCCCACTGAACTCTGCAGTCTTTCAGTTAAATTACTAGAGGTTACTCTATAGACACTTATGTTCTCTGAAACTCTCCCTAGATTTCATTCAGTATTGATTCAGCTTTCAGTATGCTTTATTTTCATACTTTTCCTAATGAACACTTTTTTGGCGTTTTATTGTGTTTATGCAGTATTGATTATCAGTTATTTTTTAATGGGAAAAACCAAATTCACATACTTAGATATGTGTCTCAAGTTTTTTAAGTATTAAGTCTTAAAATCAGTGCTTGTAAGCCCAAGAGAATTTGAAATGTTGAGGGAAAAAAACACAGCTTTGCCTTTAATCTTCTCTTTGAGAGTCTCCTTTTGCCTATTACCCATCCCTGACCCTTTTCCCTCAGCTTTTAAATAGAGGTTAGGTGGTACATAGGAATCTTAAACTGGGGGAGGCAGGAGAAAATATTTTTACTCATAATAAGGATTTTTCAGGTTTAACCAACTCAGTGACTATTTTTGAAATACTTGAATTTTCATCAATGAGGCATTTGTTCTAATAGAATGAAATTCTTTGCCAGTGACCCTTTATGGATTTGTTACGATCATAAAATATTTTTATGATTTTTAACAAGGATAGGATACGAAAGTATATTCATGTAACTTAGATTACTAATGGTTGGAATTATTTTAATCATTAATATTTAATATGTAAATATTTAATTGTTTTAACTATTATTATTTTAATAGAAACCAAAGAAACCACCACCTCCAGCAAAGAGTCTAGGTATGTAAGAAACACATTCATCATTTCATATCTTTAGGTTCTAAAATGGTGAAATTGGGTATTTTTTTAAGCCATTGATCTTTATTAGCAAAATAAAAACCCAAACATGTTAAACAAAATACAAATTGTATAAAGTGGAAGCCTTGAAAATACTTTGGATACATTAATTATATGTTGTTTTAAGTTGATATAATTGACTAAGTTTAACTCTCTTTAGAAAACTAAATGTATTGACCGGGTCATTTAGTCATTCTACCATTTCAGGTGAAATCTGTTTTTTAATGTCTCAAACTAATACAGTTATTTATGTAATCTTCCTTCAGAGAATATGCAGATAAAGGTTGAAAAAACTAGAAGAGTTTATTTTTTCAAGTAGGTGAATAAATTTTGGTACACCCAGAAGAATTTTCTTGAGTTAAAGCATTAGAAGCTGACTATGTGTTTCTCTCTAATTTTTAGCCCCCACTTTCTGATTTTATAAGCACAGTTCAATATTTTTTCTTGAATAATGCACATTTTCCTTTGTTTAGTGATTTTAGCTTTGTGCTTATTGATCTAATCCAGAGCAAGGAAAGCATAAATTACTTTGAATTTATGCATCAGATACTTACTTTCATAGTTACTAATCATAAGGCTTTTAATATTCACTAAAATTAAGTAAAATTGAAAAATTTAATTCCGTGGTTGTAACAGCAGTATTTCACTTTTCAGTAGTTAATGTTAGACAGCACAAAAATAGAGCATTTCCATCATCACAGAAGGCTTTACTGGATAGCAATGGTTGTAGAGAGAATATGAATATCTTTATTGACAAAGAATGAATTGAGACCACAGTATTAGTACTTAATGTAATAGTGGCAGGTACAGTTTTAGAAATTGGACCCAGAAAATCTGTTCTTTCTATTAAATCATATTTTCATCTGATGTTAACTTTTTAACATCTTTGCTTTTTAGTAATGTAATTGTATTTGTGTTCTAAAACTTTTTTTTAAGTATTAATTTTGTTTTTTCCTCAGCTCCAAAACCAGACCTAGTGGCTGCAGAGAAAAAGTATTTTCCTTTAAAGCCTGAAGAGAAAGGTGAGGTTGATTGTTTACATTCACAAAAATAATTTTTCCTTTGTTGTCACTGTAAAGAAAAATAACCCCATATTGGTTCATTTACACTGATTTTTAACAGGTGTTCAGTAATTACTTTGAAATGCTTGGAGTTTTCTGGAACGGAGTAGGTTCTTGATACAAAGTTAAGATTTTACCCAAACTTACCAGTTTAAAAGTTAAAATATTATCTTGTTAAAGATGTTATATTTTCATTCATTGAAAAGTTAAATGTTATTTCAGTAAATATTGCATTTCATTATAGTTATTTCAAATAATGTATGAAATTAAATATTAAATGACTTATTATTTCAAAATAAAATTTCAAGATTTTCAATAAAAATTTTCATGGGTGTAAGAGTGAATTACTTAAGAATTACTTAAGAAATGGATATGATTTATTAAATATTAATTTTCATTGTATATGTTTATCATGTGAACTTGGAAGTTTTCCAAATTACCATATGTAATCTGTTTTTTTAAAAAAGGGGGACTTTGTTTTATTACTGTTAATTTGGAGAAAACACCTTCTCTTTTGTACAGAAAGATCTGAATGGTTGTCTTTTGTAGATTAGGTTATATGTATATGCATAGTAAACTTAAATATTGTTTTAGAATCTTTTTGTTTCTACTACCTGTCATTATCTCCTGCCTCAAGTGTTATATATTCTCTTAATTTTCTGTCACCTTACTTCCTTGTCTGGCTTTTACATCATATTTTTCAAGAGCAGTTTTAGATTAATAGCAAAATTCAATATAGAGAGTACAGAGAACTCCCTTATACTCCCTGTTTACATGTATAATCAATCACCCCCACTAATCACATCCTGCACTAGAATGGTGCGTTTGTTACAATCAGTACAACTCTCTTGACACATCATTATCACCCAAAGTCCATAATTAACATTAGGGTTCATTTCTCATGTTGCACATTTTATGAGTTTGGACAAAATGCATAATTTCACAAATGTATAATTATAATGTGATAGAGAATAGTTTCACTGCCCTAAAAATTCTTTATGCTCTTTCTTTTTATCCTTCCCTCCCCTTAGACCCTGGCAACCATGGATCTTTTCATTGTCTCCATAATTTTGCTTTGGCCAGTATGTCACATACTTGATTCTTACACTACGTATGTTAGGTTTCTCCTTATCTTTTCCTAGCTCATTTCTTCTTACTGTTAATTTTCTAGTGTCTGAATGTACCACAACTTATCCTTTCACTTACTAAATGATATTTAGTTGCTTCCAGGTTTTAACAATTAATAAGGCTGCTATAAATATCCTTGTACAGATTTTTATGTGAAAATAAGTTTTTACTTTTCTTTGGTATATACCAAGGATTGTGATTGCTAGATCATGTGGTAAGAGTAAGTTTGGTTTTCTAAGAAGCCACCAAAATGTCTTCCAAAGTGACTGTACCATTTTCCATTACTATCAGCAATGAATGAGCTCACTAGTTACTCCACATGCTGACCAGCACTTGGTGTTGCAGGAATTGACTCCCATATTACATATTTGTTATCATCCTCTAGCCTGTTTTCAGTCACTGAATGTACCAAACACTTATACCCTAGATATATTATACACCTTCATAGCTTTACCTTTTCCTCATGATTTGTGCTCAACTGGGAGATTTTTATATTCCTTTATTATTTTTCTACTTTTACATTTTAGAATTTTAAAGTATGATACAAAAATAATTTATAATTAACAAAAATGTTTCTTAATCTCAGTTTAGTCCTTTTTTGATATGTTGCTAGGCCAAGTCTCAGATCAGTTTGTTTTAGTACTTACAATATCTAACTTAGAAAAGCTCATCTTGCAAGGATAGGTAGGATCAGTAAGAAATCTGTTGTGGCTTATGATATTCATTTCATAGTCTGCACCATTAGTTAAGGGTTTTGTTAATAACACTTAGTGACTTCACATATTTCTCTGAAATAGTTCTTTTTTTTAGAGATTTATTTATGCATACAAGAACTGGGGTATAGGCCAGAGGTGCTGGGGGGTGAGAGGATTCAACCAGAGACACAGTGGGGAACAGAACAGGCCGATCCACTGAAATACACTGCTGAGAGGAACAGCGGGTGAGACAGGAGAGGTCTACTGTGCGATGTGGGTAGCTCCCTGGCTGGGGATTGAACTCATGCTTCAGTGGCTGCAGATAGCTTCATAGCTTGCATCTTAACCCCTTGCGCCACCAGGGAGGCCCTGAAATAGTTTTTCTTATGAACAAAATGAAAACTGATGTATTTTTATTATATTTACATGCTTAAAATCTTGGCCATGATGAAGTTACAGAGACTGAAGTTGCCCTCTCAAGCTAAATTATCAGAAAACTGGTCAAAATATATGAAACAGTGGCTTTCAAACTTTGGACAGGTAGTATAGGTGGACTGTTACTGTTGAAAGAATGGAAACTAGTAAAGCAAGCCCTAAAATTACCCCAGCTTATTGTCTAGAAGCAGTTTGCAGATAACAAAAAAGGAGGAAGGCAAACAACACTAGTTTTCTCCTGCTTTTTTGGGAAACTTCTCAGTGCCTTACCCTTCAGTAGCTCACTTTATTCTTTGTGCCTTGTTATATTCTCAATATGAAACATGTATTACAGGAAAGGAGGAACTGTTGTTTATTTTGAAGTGGCAGGTTGGAGGCATATAAATGTGTATATGAAAGAATGTAACCAAAGCTGCTTCTGACTTTATAAGTAGATTATGAAGCACTTTAAATGGTAACCTTTATGTACATGTCCTCCCCATAGTTCCAGTTACTCACTTAGGAAGAGCTTAAAGGACTGCTGAGGACCAGGCTAACTTCACACTTTTACTAGTGGAGACAGTGAATCTGCATTCACTTTAGCATGAACATTTCTTTCAATTTCTATTACTACAATTGTAGAAACCCTTTCTGCCTTTTTATTTTTAGTTGATTCTTAAGCAGAACATAGCCAGATAATAACCTCATTCAATCAGGAACCAATAGCTTAATAATGGAGTCTGGTTTCCTAATTAGTAGAATGGGAAGGGAGAGTTTGCTGGTAGATATACCTTCTTGAGGTTTTCTTGTCTCTGCATGTGGCACAGATGTTAGCCTGGCATTAAATGGTAACAAGTTACTGTTATTGTTGCTGGGAAGATGTAGTCAAAATACTGGGAATTCATTACTGCTATATGGGACTACAGATTTCAGTGATCTATTTGACTGATTTTGGAACTTTCAACCCCAGTAATTTGGATTGTGATTCTTACTCTACCTATCTTCCTGAAAAAGATGTGGGGTTCTACTGATTATGTAAGCCTTTGTCTCTTAAAGAAGGTCATGTGGCTGTTGCTTTTTCCCACCCAGAGTGTGGTAGTATAATTAATTCATTCACTGAACTAAAAGTTACTAAGGATTATCAGAATTTGGTCTTTTGGTGTATTATTCTTGAGTCTTTGGGCATCATGTAAAGGCTCACATGTTCATTTACCTTTCATATGCTGGTGATTCCTGCTTTGGGTTTGGTTGGATTTATTCACATTGTTCCCTTTTTCTTGCATTTGTTTATATTTCATATTTTCTGCCATGTATTTGTGTACCTATACATATTTATCTTTACACAGATATACGTATATACATACACATATATAAGAATTTTTCTAAAGGAAAGACCTAGTGGTGGAACATGTTTAATTTTTCAAAAATAGTTTTCTCTCCTATTCTGAAAAGATTTTTAGTCTTAGATTGAATTCTAAGTTAGCGGAATAATAGTTCTTTGTACATAATTCAGCATACATACCTAAAATGGAAATTTTGAGACATCTACTTTATATTTTTGCTTGGGAGTATGCTCTGTTTTTAATAAATCAGTAAAAAGGAATGCATAGTTGTGCAGAGTAAAAACTTCTGAAAACTTAAATGGAATAAAAAGTGTATTTTCTGATTCACTTGCTGGCTATGGATTTTTAAATCAGTATTCATCATTTTGCAGAGTGAATTGGAAATCTATGTTCAAAATATGTTTCTAAAGTATGTATTCTGAAGCTTTGATGTAATACAGTTTAGTGTGGAATTGAAGTCAAGATCTCTGTTTAAGACTCATTTTAAAGCACATACTAGAAGTGGTAAATTCAGATGCCTTTTCATCTGTGACACGGATGGGATGGTAGTACATTCTCAGAGTTGAGAAGTGTGGCAGCACTGTATTGTATTTTATATTTAGCATGCTTACCAAAGAGGGAAATGCTGCTTAGATAATATTCAACAAAGGGCATTTTGATATTTATAATAACACCACTCTAGTTAGGACCTAAAAAAAATCTTGACTTCTTAAGAAGTAGCAAATGGTATTCTTTTTTGATGGCTAATGTCCAGTATCATAAAAATCCATCTGTATATATGTGGCAACTGGTTTCTGCTAGTTACTAGGAAGATTAAATTCATTTTTGGTTTTCATTTTTTAAAAGTGATAATCTCACTATTGCTAGATGAATAGTTAATGTGGGTAATAAAAGTTGTGATTATGCAGAGACTTAGAAAATGAGCAGTGTTTTGACTGGAAAAGACAAGGTGATTACAAGTTGCAGAGAGAGAATATGAAAATGATGAGAGAAACCATAGCATATTTAACAAAGGGCTGCCACATATGTAGGAGATGTGAAAAATTATGCTAAAAGGTAACTTGATACAACTGTTCTTAATCCTGGTGGTATATAGTTACCTGAGTATGTTTAAGAAGATGTGTTGATGCCTAGGATCCTCTTCAGCATTTTTATAGGGTAGGACTCAGGTATTAGTATTTTTAAAATTTTCCATGAGTCTGCTCTGAAGACAAAATTGAAAACTACTTGTATAATTCTTGAAAAGCCTTTCATTGCTATGACAAGGAGTGTATATTTAGTTATTTTTTTTCCTGTTTCAAAAAAAATTTAGTGATAAGGGTTTCATTTGAGAGTTTATGCTATGTATGAAAATTAAGTGTATGTCATATTGGCATTAGGC